AAACAACTCATAAGTTCTACAGTCTATTGTCCCTTTATAACGCAGGCAGAAGATAGCTGTATGCTCCCAATAGAGCTGAATTTGCACAAGTTACACCTCTGAAAATGCCAGATGGTCTATGGTCTACTTTTGAGAGCTGTCACATATGTAAAGATTTGAAAAAAGAAAGACAGCTGAATGAGAGCAGTGGATCATTAAAGGGAGAGCGAGGGTCCCTAGGCATCACTTGTGTTTTAAGAAGCATTGTCATTCCCATATGAGTGTGCTTTTTTTTTAAAGCCATACACAACTTTTACACAATAAGGAAGTCTGTTGAAAGCATGTACTTAGGGTTTAATCAGTCAGACAGTTTTGTTCTTTATTTAAAAATAAAATCAAAATTCTGACTTGGTTTTAGCTATAATTTTACCATAAGATTCAAGTCACACCCATAAATATTGATAAGGTTAAAATACATGGCTGTTGCGATAACTAATCTAAGGTTTATTCAGTTTTTATTTGACCTATATACTGCAGGCAGCTGACAAATCAGAAAATTAATTGTTTTAATGCCAGAAAATTGGAGTGAATAGAAAATACTTGGCTACTTGACCATAAATACAATCTGTACGCAGTAAAAGTTAGATGGTAGTGAAACAAAAATTACTACTATTATCTGCCACCAGAAATCATTTTGAAGTTTGAAATGCAGGTAAAATATTAAGGATATGTCTGCATATTTCTCTGTACATAGCCAATAACTTGCAAATAATTTTGTTAGTAGAAAAAGGTCATCTCTATCAATTTTAGAATTTGGTGGCAAGAAACTGCTGTTCCTTACCGTATTTATGGAGACTGATTACATGGTAATTCTAAACGTACCTTGGATGTTGAATTGACAGGACATTTTTGATTGATAAGAAGTCTCCCAAGCATTGGTCAATGGCATTGCAAAGTAAGAAAGCTCTGATTGTTTAAATTAGTCTTTTCAGAGACAGAGTAGCCCAAAATATTCCATTTATTTGGTGAGATTATAGGAAAGTGCTCTTAAAAGAACACCAAATTAGGTTGAACTGTCTTCTTTGGCATCCCTTTAAAGACATATGCATAACTAGCTTTACGTTCAATAGCAGTCATTAGGGTGTCATTCTGGTTGATGCAAGAAGTTACAGGAGCAGCAAATTAATCTCCAGATAAAATGATTGCACGTCCATAGAAAGATCTTCTCTTGTAGATGCCTTGATTGTGGATTTTAGTTACATAACTGCTAAACAGAGAGTAACCTTTTCTTAGTAGCAGGTAGGAGAAAAATAAAGTATTCTGATATGCTTTGCAGCTCTTACTCTGTGCTATTCTCAGATCTTTACGTTTTAGACATATCATCTTTATCACTAAAGAGTTTGGAAATAGAGTTCCTATGTTTTATAAATTAGGTATTAATACTTGATGGATTGGGTAGGAAGGCATATTTTTGTTAAATGAATAGTTTTTTTTGAAATATGTACACTTATGAATAAGATTTTTAATACTAAGACTTTTTCTTTAAGAAACTTAGGATATGTCATCAACAACCCAAGTTAAAAATGTGTGATAAAGGGCCCTCCCTGGTGGCACAGTGGGTTAAAGCATAGCACTAAAAAGTGAAAGATACTTCAGCATGAATTCAATCCCCACCTGCCAGGGAGGTGATCCACATGGCAGACAGATCTCTCCTGACCTGCCCGCTGTTCTCCTCAGCAGTGTACTTCATAGATCTGCTTGTTCTGCTCCCCGCTTTGTCTCTGGTGAATCCTCTCACCACCCCTGCACCTCTGGCCTGTACCCCCAAGTTCTGTATGAATAAATAAATCTAAAACATAAATAAATAAAAGAAATAAATTTAAAAAAAAGTGATAAAGATGGATGTAAAGATGGAAGTTTTTAGTATTCAGATTTAATTTACATTTCAAAGCTTTTGTAATCATATAGAGTAAAATACAACTGTAATTTTAGATTTTGATTTTCTAGGAAATTTTAAAATGTAGACAGTGGTTTATGTCATTGTATTTGCTTGAAATACCATAACTGATAAAATTGTTTAGGAAATAAACAATTAAGATAGCTGTTGACTGTATAATAATGCCATACTTTAATAAGTGTAAACCGATAACTTTTTTTTTAAGACTTATTTATTCATTTATTTATGCATACAGAACTGGAGTACAGGCCAGACGTGCAGTGAGAGACTTCACTAGCGACAGAGTGGGGAACAGAATAGGCCGACTGATGGAGTACACTGCTAAGGGACACTGGGTCAGGAGAGATCTGCAGCGCCATGTGGGTCACCTCCAGGGCTGGAAATCGAACTCATGCTGAAGTGGCTTTAATGTCTTTGTGCTGTGCTTTAACCCGCTGCAATACCAGGGAGGGCCTGTAAGCAGATAACTGTTAAAGTGAAATCTGAGTTCTTAGCCACAAAAACCACAATCTATGTTGAATCATTCAGATAGATAGAAAATAAATACATTAGCAGAACACAGAGTGTCCCAAGAATCTTGCCTGTTCATTCTCTGGGGCTTCTCTAGTTAGAAACCATGACACCACTGGCCCACTTTGACAAGGCTCCCAGATTCTGCACCCTTCTGCGAAGACCAATGAATGTCCTCTTTACCGTTTGTGCCCAAATGTTATACCCCTCCTGGTCTACCTGGCCCGTGGATTGTCACTTCTGAATGCAGGTCTTGCTTCTGTTTGGTAGAAGTTAGGTCACTTATGTGCCCCCAAGGCACAGAGCAGTTTAGGGATAAGGTAGACTACTAACCAAAATGTGAGAGGGTGTTCAGAAATGCTGAGCAGCACAAGCAGCACAATTCACACAGGTGAATTGTTACCCTGTTTGTTTTGTGATTCATTGTCCAAAGAATCAAGTCAGTTTGTCCTTCTTTAGTATGATGCTATTATGTGGCTTTTGTATTTTTCTTGTAAGCTAGCATGTTGGTTTTCACATAGGCATTTACTACATCTGGAGTGTATTTGTATGAGATACACATGCTCATGCATGTACCTACACATTCATGTTGGGACTCTGCTAATCCATTGGTTTCTATGTCTACACTGTAGTAGCATGGTACTGCTTCAGTCACTGTAGTTTTTAGTAAGAAGTTAGTAAGTCAAGACCCACAACTCTTTCTTCAAACTTTCCTTGGTGATTCTTGATTATGACTCCTTACAAATTTTTATTTTAAACCTGTCAAGATCCATAAACAAGCCTGTTAAAGATGTTATAGTAAAAATTCAGATAAATCAGGTGAAACACAATATTATCAGAACTAGCATGTTTGTGTTACAGGGCAGCAAATCTGTCCCAAGACAGGGGGAGAAGGACACCCCTGAAGGGCCAAAACCTGACTGCTCTAAGTGGGTTCTGCCATCCGCCGCAACAAGACAAAATATATAAAACTTTAATGAAAAGGGACTTTAATACAGTAAATATACAATACGGAACACAAAGAATATAACTTCTAAATCAAACACCTGAAGTTACCCATCCCCTTGTGGGCAAAAGTCAACCCAAAAGGGATTGGCCCAAAGCAA